CTGACGCGGACTCTCGCCGTCTACGAGAACTTGGAAGAGGAGAGCCAGAGCGAGATGGGGGAGCGAGAGCCCGCAGAGGAAGGGGGGACCGGCGAGGTCAAGGGGCCCACGGAGGGGGTCGGTAGTGAGCACAAGGGCTCCACCGGATCGCCGGATAGGCGAAGAGCCCGTCGCTTCGAGAACGCGGAGCTACAACCTCCAGAGGAAGAGGAAGAGCGGTGCGTGACCGAGCGACTAAAGGAGGAGATCGAGTGCAACCGGGTCGGGATAAACCGCATATTGGAGATGCTGGAAAAGCACGACCAGGTATGCGCTCGGTGGAGCGACCAGTTGACCGCTCTGCAGGTGGAGTTCCAGCAGTTTAGAAGCAGGGACCCCACCAATCGACGAACGGTCATACCAGAGCGGCCCCGGAGGACCGTGGACTTCCAGTCCACGTATACGTGCCACTACGACCCAAGGGTACCAGGTAGTACCCCGGAGCCCCAGCGATCGACCCCTGGCGAACCTCGAGAAGCTCCCCAACGGCAGATGCCTCCAAGGACGGAACAGCCACCGACAAGAGGACCAAGAGACTCCGACAGTGGTGAAGGGCAGATGATCCCAGAAGGATCCGCCTGGTACGACGCCAATGCGGCGTCGGGTTACTACGCGACTCGGGACGCGGGTAGGATTGTGAGAGGGTGGAAGCTGCGATACTCTGGTACGGCTGCAGAGTGCGTAGACACCTTCTTGTCTAGGCTAGAAGATCTACGCGCGGGGTCTGGGCTAACAGACGGCGAAATCTTGTGCTCGGTATCAGAGCTCCTCGAAGGCGTTGCGAGGACCTGGTACGAGCTTAACAAGCTTAAATGGAGAAATTACGCCGACTTCGTGGCAGGCGCTCGACGTTGGTTTGGGTCGAGTGAGCTTCAGCAACAGAGGTTGCTGCAAGAGGCCCAAGCTCGGTACCAGGAGAAAGGAGAGCTGGTACGAGAATATGCCTGCCACCTCCTCTTCATGTTAGCCCAGCTGCGTCCGCCGTTACCAGAGCAGAGGCAGTTAGATTTGCTGTATGCAAATCTCCTACCCGCCATCCGAATGCAACTACGGAGGAATGCGTTCTCCAACGTGGACGAATTCCACGCCCGGGAGACCGAAATCGAAACCGCTTTGCGGGACGACGAGCGCCCGAGGACCAGGTTGGAGCCAACGTCCACGTTGTACCCCGAGCACATGGGGGTGTCAGCTAAGGCACCACCGCCCCGGGCAGGACCCCGAACGGCGGCCATGTCCAGCAAGTCTCGGGGTAGGGAGCAGCGGCAACCCGAGTCGCCGGTTAAAACCCCGGCCAAGAGACCCGAGGACCGGCCCACCATCGCTGCAACGCAGGTAACAGACCCCATCGAGGATCTGTCGTCGCAGATTGCGACCCTGCGGCGCGATATGGACCGGTACTTTAAGGAGAGGAAGGCTAACTCTCCCAGGCGGCCGAAGGGTCGGCCACAAGAGAAGGGGAGGAATAAAACCCCCCCAGGGTCTCCTGGCCAGCGACGAGAGGGTCAGCGGAGGAAAATAGATTACTCCCAACCCATCAAGTGCTCGTCTTGTGGCAAACTGGGCTTTACCAGAAGCTACTGCCCGGATTGCAACAAGGGAAACGGGCAGGGAAGCGGAGGACGGAGGTCCCCTCCGCGTCCCCAGTAAAGGTGACCTCTCGTCGCAGGTCGTTTGAACGTGGCAGGGGCCCGTCAACGACCTCAGGGTTCAGGGAAAACTCGACAGGGGTATCGGACCCCACGAGACCCAGCAGTGCAGCGGCGTTAGAAGCGGCAGCGACCGAACAGATGCCAGATCTGGGTAACCGGGCATTTTGTATCCTCGAAGGGTACGGAGGCCGGATTCAGGTGGTGGAGCAGGGGTTTGAGTGGGCCGGAGAGGAGACCACCAGACCCAAAAGCTCCAGGAGACCACCTGACGCTCCGGAGGATACGCCGGCGACCCAGACACCTGCGGGCGAGAGCACGTCGACGCGAGTAGCGGCTGCCCAAGGCAAGAAGAGCCGTGAAAGCCTCCCGTCCACAGAGGGGAGAGAGACGGCGAAAGCTCCCCGCAGGTACAGACCCGAGGATGAGACCAGGTGGTGGCTTCAGGTGGGAATAGCTGCCTATAAATTAAGGGCACTCTACGACACCGGGGCCTCATCGACGGTAATGGGTCAACTCGGGCTTAGGTTGGCATCTGACATGGGACTGGGCCTGGACGTCACGCGAGCGGGGGAAGCGAAGCTCGCCGACGGCCGTCCATGTCCCATCTTGGGTCATGTGATTTTCCCCTTCACGGTAGGGGGAATCACAAAAGACGTAAGGGTCGCCATAACGCCACTGCTGTCTGATGACTGCTACGTCGGCGCGAATTTCGTGAGGGAATTCAGCGCCAACCTGAACCCTGACACGGACCAGCTGTACTTGGCGAAAGCCAAAGTGGCAGTACCGTTGGAAGTGGCAAGCGTCACTGGTACGTCGTGCCTCGCACCCGTAGGCCTGGTAGAAGCCACGGAAGCACAGCGTCAAGAAGTGGCTAGCCTCGTCGATGGATTAATTCCAGACGGAGGCGAGTGTTTAGGCTGTGCTGTGGGGGTCGAGCATGAGATAGACATCGGAGACGCTCGAAACTGTAAACAGAAATACTACCCGGTCTCCGACAGGGTGCGAGACGAAATGCACGCGCTGGTCAAAGCCATGCTGGACAACGACGTCATTGAACCAGCAACCAGCGGGTGGTCAAGTCCAGTGGTGATGGTTAAGAAGGCAGACGGCAAATATCGGTTCTGCGTAAATTACCAGAAGGTAAACGCAGTAACCAAGCCGGACGCCTACCCATTACCCTTCATGAGCGACATCCTGCGAAGGATCAGGGATGCTAAGTTCATCTCGACACTGGACTTGAGTAGCGCGTACCACCAGATACCTCTTAAAAAGGAGTCGCGCCCCATTACGGCGTTCACAGTCCCCGGCCTGGGGCATTTTCAGTTTAAGAGAATGCCCTTCGGACTGTCTTACGCCGGCGCGACCTTCCAGAGGTTGATGGACAGAGTGATTGGCCCGGATTTAGATCCTTTCGCTTTTGCGTACCTCGACGACGTGATTATTATCTCGCCGTCTTTTGAGGAGCATAAGCGACACCTGGGATTGGTTTTACAACGAATCCTGGGTGCGGGCCTCACTGTGAATAAGACCAAAAGCCACTTCTGTAAGTCGGAAGTCAAGTACCTGGGGGTCCTGGTGAACCGTGAAGGGGTAAGGCCAGATCCAGAGAAGATCAAGCCCATTATGGAGTACCCAGTACCACGGACGATCAGACAGGTGAAGCGATTCATGGGGATGATGTCGTGGTATCGTCGCTTCATACCCGACTTCGCAACAATCGCTGAGCCGATAAACCGCCTGACGAAGAAGAGCATCCCGTTCGCTTGGCAGCAGGAACAGGAACAGGCTTTCGAACGGTTGCGAGACGCAATGGTCTCGGCACCGATCTTGCAGTCGCCGGATCCCAGCGCGCAGTTCGTGTTACAAACGGACGCGAGCGATAGTGGGATAGGCGCGGTATTGACGCAAGAAGTCGATGGACAGGAGCGCGTAATCGAGTACGCCAGTCGCTCCTTAAACAGTGCGGAGGTGTTGGGCCGCGTCAAAATCCAACCGTGGAGCAAACCACGAAACTCAAACCGTGCAGCCGGAGCGCGTCATAAGCCGTCCGTGGAGTACACCACGTTAATAAATCGAGGTGTTGGGCCGCGTCAAAATCCAACCGTGGAGCAAACCACGAAACTAAAACCGTGCAGCCGGTGCGCGTCATAAGCCGTCCGTGGAGTACACCACGTTAATAAATCGAGGTGTTGGGCCGCGTCAAAATCCAACCGTGGAGCAAACCACGAAACTAAAACCAAGCAGCCGGTGCGCGTTATAGCCGTCCGTGGAGCACACCACGTTAACAAATCAAGGTGTTGGGCCTCGTTAAAATCCAACCGCGGAGCACCCGCGTAAACAAGCCGTGGAGAAAAACCATGTTAACAAATGATCCTCCCCCTTCCCCTCTTTCACTTAACATTTACTCCATACTTCATATTCCTAAATCTAAGACACACCAACAACTACCACCACCAAAGGGTGAATGACCTACTTGACTAATCTTCTCCATCCTCTTCTGTTACCCCCTTCCCAACTGGGGATCAAGAAGAAGCATTGCTCTATCTTGATCAGCCAGTGGGCCTTACATCTCCCTTACAGGACTCATCGTGGGACTTCGAGGGTGAGTACTAGTATCGAAATGATACTAGGAATAAGGGACGAGAGTGTCAGTACCAAGTAATGGCAAAACCCATGAACAGGAAAGCATTCGCCCTCCTCCCTCTAAAAAATTTCAGATAACCAGGACCAGGAATCCTAAGTAAGAACCAAATTCAACATCGGTATGTAACCTACAACTGTCCTAATCACGCATAGCAGTGACTAATCAGGTTTGGAGTATGGCTCCTTGGACTGAACACTAGCTGAACTCATATATACATAAACATATACATATACATAAACATAAACATCAATCAAATTAAATTAACTTAAATAATAAATTAATAAACTACAAACACAAACAAAAACAAAACAAAATAATAAGAATAATAATTAAATATTTCTCTCCTCTCCTTTTAGATTCCCCCTTCCCCATCTAGGTAACCCATATTATTCTAAGCCCCCCTGCTTCCCTTAATACAAGCATATGCTCAAAATTTGAGAAAACACAGAAAAACAAATCAATATGTCCCACAAAACCTCCATCCATATCCATCCATATCCATATCCATAAGATTTTTGCTCAGGGAGGGTATATGCTTGTCCGATTATACCCCAAAATGTCCAAAATGAAATGTCCAACCCAAAATGTGCAAAGGAAAATGCCCACAGAAAATAATGTCCACAAGTCAAATGTCCACAATTGATATGTCAAATATGTCCAAATTTTATTCACGTATTAAGATGGTGACCAATTATTTTGAGATATTCCAATTCATTTTCTTCGTCGACATAACTTTGATATGCGGCAACGACGGCGGCAATACGTTCTTCGGCTCGAAGTTGGCTGCTTTTAGGCAATTTTTTCACTTTTTTACCCAAACTTATTTCCCGCGACATATACTCAACGTCAGCCTGTTCTTTCTGGATCTCCGTAAGAAAACTGTAGAGGCTCGGATGACGGCAACCAACTAATATTTGGAAGCGGTTATGCCAGCCCTCGGAAGCATTATTTGTCCGCGCAACTCCTTGAAGAACAGAGTTGTACTGATTCCATAGGGCTGGCGCGTACCGAACTCTTACTGCTTTTCTCCGGCCAATTGCTCGAATACCTCGGACGTAATTAATTTCAAAGTATGTAGCTATTGGAATAAACTCTTCTGGCATTTCATTTTGAAAGAGGTCGAATATCTCTGGCACATTGTCTGGGGGCACGTAGGCTAAGGCACACATGGAATGCGCAGCTTCTCGAATACTATTGTCATTCGGATCGCCGTACTGTTGCTGTAGACCTTCAGATTGTATTTTCCGGTATATGCTTTGACGAAGATGAAAGAAGCACAGTCGAATTATATTTTCACCGAAATGATTTTTCACAGCGTTAATTATCGCCAGCTCGAAATCAGTCATTACAATCTGAGGATGACGTATTCGTATACCGGCCTCTTCAGCAGCGGAGAGAGTAACTTCTATGACTTTGGAGTATGCTATTTCTTTTTTATTTTCCAAGAGTGCGTAGACTAATGGTATAGCGATTTTACGTTCAGTGCCTTTGTAAGTTTGGGTAACTGAACCCATTATAGTAAAAAGCTGGAAGAAAATCGATGGTACAGTGTCGAACGTACCATCTAGGAACCAAATTGTTGAGCTGAACAGCAAACGTAAATTTTCGCGCGTTGCGAACACTAATATTCTGTCCGAATTGTAATCCTCGTCTGTATGAGAGTCATACATCAGGAAAGTATCTCCAACGAGCGTTTTTGTAAAAGTTTCAGGTATATCTTAAATGTTATACTTTATAATAAATGTATAGCTGCAGGAGATGGTATGTAAAAAGATATGTTGACTCTTATACCTTTTATGTCTTCTATGGTAGTGGGATTAGACGGTAGATGCAGTAAACGTTCGCGCTGTATAGTTTTTTTAATGTTGCCAATGTCAGGTAAACGAGCTTGCACAGCTTCATTACAATCCTGTGCTTCTCGCGTTATAGCAGAAGGAGGACGAGCACGGTCACTTATAGCCGAACGCTGTTATATCAGCTAAAATTATTTCTATTCAATGTAGAAAAATATAGAGTGGTACCTTAATATTTCCCATAATGCGCACAGATTCGACTTCTTCGGGATTAGGTTCATGAGTGTGAGAGTTTGCCGACCCACCTCTCCGAATCAAAACACTGCGACCCGTGCTGACGGTAGTCAAACGCGCGGCGCATTGACCTCGATATCGACACTTCCAATATTTTACATCACCTTTGGAAGTCGATGCAGAGTATAAGAAACCGTCAATGTGTCCATAAGTAGAAGACCCTTTCTTAATTATTTCTAATGTACGATATGCCATTATCGAGGTTCAACGAAAATTTTGAAAAATCATGAGTGAGAGTGTACACAAATGTTAATACATGTAAGATATGAAAGGTTATGGTGAATGAAAAAAACGCTATCGGGAAAACAATCGAAAGCAAAAAACTAATGAAATACATATTTTTATTTTGGACAATAAATAACTGTGGACATTTTGGCTTGGACATTTTAGTTTGGACATTATGGGGAGATACCGCTTGTCCATGTATCTCGGGGATTGGCGACCCTGGGCTATCCTAGCTGATGGTAGGTGAACGCCACCTATCTTCTCCGTAAATTTACTGAGCTCTTCAGCGACCTCTATGGGGCGTGGTAGGGGAATGTCGTGTTCAGTGAAAGCGGGGGCTTGGCTTCACTGTCCGGCCGCGAGGGTAGAACCTCTATAATCATTCTCCAAATCCTAAGCTTGGCATGTGGTGATGGGATGCATGGCCTATTGGGGTTAGGTCGCCAGCATGCCATTCCCCGATGGTTGTGGCGACTATTTGGGGTATATAGCCTTGGCGGGTATGGTGCTCTGTCCGTTTGACAATTTATTTCACCATAAATTTCATATTCGCTTCAAAGGGACGGTAAGGTCGTGAATAGTTCTCAATCTCAATTTGATATAATATTTAATATCAATTTCAATATCACTATGATATATATGCTATAGGCATTTTGATGAATGGCGACCTCACGTCCTGACAAAAAGCGAAGTACGAACAAGATGTTTTCGAATATTAATGATTTAAAAGGGTGTGGGAAGGTAAAGGGCGAGAGTAGTAGTATTGAGACACTATCCAGTGTTGATAGTAGTGGTGGTACACCAGTATGTGGCAGTGCCTCTGTGGGTCCTGATCAGGGCCATGACAACAATGATTTGGATCGCTGCATTCCTTCCACTTCTAGGGGGAGAAGAAAGGGTAGGGACAAAGGTCGACATAGGAATCGTCAACGACGAAGCAGACATCCAGAGGTGAGTTCTGCTTCCAATCCTGTACCAGAAAAGGTTCCACGGCTGGATCAGGAAACCATCCATGCTGTGCGTTCATTGAGTGTTTCTCCCAGGGCTCCAACTCCATCTTCTCCATTCTTGCTTTCATCCTCATCTTACAATTTCATTGGCAGTCCATCCATTGTCAATAAAGTTGATCCCATGAACCAACTCGAGCTGGTTCACATTTTGCAGGCTAATTTAGGGAGGGGTGAGACAGCTACTGCTCAGTTGAGTTCGTCCCTCAATAATTTGAGAGCCGATGTATTGTTGTTGCAGGAACCTTTTTGTGTGAATATTGACGGAGACATATCCTTGGGTTTTGGGTTTTCCTGTATTAGTGTTGTTTGGGAGCTAGAGAATACTTGGGCTGCTGTGGTAGTTCTAAATCCTAGTTTTAAGGTCTGTCATTTGAGGGAAATGTCTAATGCATATTGTGCCTGTGCAGAAATCACTACAGGAAATGGGGCAAGGTTTTATACCATTTCCTGTTACTTTAAGTTTAGTGATCCAATTGATCCTCACATGGCGCATCTTGGCATTATTTTGACTCGGTTGCAGGGGGAAAAAGTGATTGTTGGGGTTGATAGCAATGCAAGTTCCTTACTTTGGGCCCCGCCTGAGGGCTTTATAGATATAGAGGATCGTCGGAAAAAAGGTTACGGTGCATACAAGCTACGCGAGGAGAGGGGGGATGCTTTCGAGAGGTTCATATTATCTTTTGGGTATCGTGTTCTTAATTCGCCTTATGATTCTCCTACTTTTGATAACATTCGTGGTACGTCCTATATTGACGTGAGTATGGTTTCACCTAATCTTTATTCCTCAGTACTGTCATGGAGGGTGCTCACTACCATCATACCTAGCAGTGATCACCACGTTCTTTCCTTCAGGCTTTCATTAGGTTATTTGCCTAATATGGGTGGTCAGGGTGTTATGGCAGCTGATAAGGTTATGGATGAAGATGACAAGCCTTCCTTTCCGGTACAAAGGTTTCAGGTTACAAAGGCAGATTGGAATAAGTTGATATTCATTCTACAGAACTCCTCCCTAGGAGGGCTTTCACTTGATAGTGCCGACGACGTTGAGAACGCTGCAGAAGCTCTGGAAAGGGAGATCATTGCGGCATGTGAGGCTGCTATGCCACGGAGGAAGCCTAGGAAGTATCATAATAGATGGTGGAATGCACATCTTAATGTTGTGAAGAGAGAGGTTACACAATCCCGCAAGGTGTTGAGGGAGGCCAAACAGCAGGGTATTGCACCAAGTCTTTTAGGGGATATTATTGCTAGGTATCGGGCCCTGTTGGTCTTTTATAGGAATGAGATCTCAAGGGTTCGGCAGGATAGTTGGAGAGACACTGTTAGTGGATACGGTAATGATAGCCCTTGGGGTATTGTATATCAGCTTCAAGTTGGAAAGAGGAAATTACCAAGGCCTTTAAGCTCTCTACGTCATTCAGATGGTACATTTACTACTGGGATAGAGGAAACATCTAGTTTGTTATTGGATAACTTTTTCCCTGCCGATGGTAGACATGAGGACGAGGATGTTCATGTTGCATTACGGGAAAGAATGAACGTTTCACCGGGTATCGAGGATACTCCCTATTTTGTAACACGCGAGGTACGCGAGGCATTATCAACTATGCCAAATAGGGCCCCTGGTCTAGACCTGATTGAGGTTGTAGTTTTGAAGAAGGCTTTTGCTGTATTGTCACAATTTTTGGTGTCACTGTTCAATGCCTGTTTAAGGTTTGGAGTGTATCCCAGGACATGGAAAAGAGGAAGGCTTGTTGTAATTCCGAAGGGTGGTGGGAAAGATCCGTCCCTGCCTAGTTCCTACAGGCCTATTTGTCTGTCCTCAGTAATAGGTAAACTATTAGAGAGATTATTGGCTCTTCGCCTCAATTTGACAGTAGGCTCAGCAGAGGTGATAAGTGGGAGACAGTTTGGTTTTACTAGACTTCTCTCTACAGAGCATGCTATCAGTGATATGCGAAGAGCTGTTGATGCTGCTGGTAAGGGGCATAAGGGTGATTACGTGTTAGGAATATTATTTGATATTAAGGGTGCATTTGATAGTGTGTGGTGGCCTTTAATTTTCCAATCACTAAAAGATAAGGGTTGTCCTGATAATATTTATAGATTATTGTTGTCTTATTTTCAGGAAAGGTGGATTTATATGTATACTAGTCTAGTTAGTTGGGTCAAAAGGATGACTAGTAAAGGTTGTCCACAAGGTTCAGTATTGGGACCGCTTTTGTGGAACTGTTTATTCGAGGATCTTTTAAAGCGTTTACAGGAGCTAAGAGTTGGGTTGGCTATTGGGGGAATCATAATTACTTCTATTGCTTATGCTGATGACCTCCTAGTTGTAATACAGGCTGGTAGTAGGGGAAAATTAGAGTTTGCGTGTAGAACTGTTATAGAGAATGTTTTGAAGTGGTGCAAATATGCTAAAATGCAGCTTGCGGTTGATAAGACAGAGGTTTTATTTTTACGACGTACTGTTGGTTATTACAAAGCGCTAGGAGGGAGGTCGCAGTTAAGGCATAATAGGTCAGCAAGGTTGCGTAGATCTATGGGGAATAAGAGGAAGTCAATCTCTCGTAAAAGGAATCCTGTTGTGAGAGTGATAGGGGTTGAGGGGGTTGATAATATAAGGGTTTCTTTTAAGAATTCAGTGCGATATTTAGGTGTACACATAGGCGAACATTTGCGTATGGGTGTGCATTGCGATTATCTAAGGTCAAGGCTGGGTATTCTATTCGGTAAGTTCAGACGATTGTCACATCGCGATTGGGGGTATAGCTATATTACATTAATGCGTTTTTATCGGGGGGTTTTTGAGCCTACTGTTTCTTATGCTGCTGGTTCATGGTTTGATCTATGTACTGGTAGAAATTTCCGTACTTTATCCAGCTTGCAAAGAAAGGCTTTATTATGTGTTACTCGATCCTACTCTACCGTTTCTGCCGAAGCTTTATGTGTTTTGGCTGGGGTACTTCCCATACATTTGTTTTTATTTGAGAGATGGGCAAAGTTTAGGTTGCGTATTGGGGAGACAATTATTATTTCAGGACAAGTGATTATTCCAGCGGAAGATGCCGAGCGGATTTTAAGTGAAGCAATTTTATCCCAGTGGCAGAGGGAATGGGGAGAGTTCTAGTCGAGGTCGTATGACTTGTAGGTTCTTTCCTAATGTACGAGATCGGTTAAAGTTTACTTGGGTGAGGCCGGCGTTTTATATATCACAATTTCTAACGGGTCATGGGGATTTTCGATCTAAGCTATCAGGGTTTTTTCCCACGAGATTTAGAGAGAGGGCACAAAGATTATATGAATGTGGATTAGGGGATACCGTTGGTCATGTACTTTTTGAATGTCCTGAATTTACACCAATGAGGGAAGCACTGGATCCTTTGTTGGCGGATGATTCTGCTCCGTTGCGGACCTTAGTATCTTCTGATGTTAATTTCAAGATGTTGTCTCTTTTTACCAGGGAGGTTATGACTATACGTTCTAATATAAGAACGGATCATCTTATGGATTAAAACACAAAGAACCCTATCTCATCCTGATCTAATTCTGACTTGGCTTAATAGGAGTCTAATCCCTATAACTTCAAATACACACACATTACTCAGACTAGCACACACTTTTAATCCATCCATACATTAATCTCTACTGTACAACAGTGCTCCCAATGAGCAAAATCTTAGGTGACAACCCCCGCTTAAAATAATGCCTTATTCCCCCTCAAACGCCATTCAATATTTAATCCTTAACAGTGCATACTCAGGACCGGAAAATAGTTCCGTGAACGGAACACTATTCTCCTAACAACTCCAAACTATCAACAATAAAGAAAACACACATGAACAATAATAACCATATTACATTCCCCCTTATCTCCATACAAGTATCCCCACTGCTAAACAGCACTTCTGCCAAAACCAAAATTTTAGACATCAAGTCTCCTCTTGAAGTCTTACTCCAACTCTCTCTCTACTATGCTCAATTCAAGAGCAAATTACCAATAACCAATTTCTTAGGTAGGTTACTATCAGCTCAACAAGAGGTCAAATCGTTCTGGCCCAGGCGGGGTCAGGGGGACAGGCCTCCCCGTGGTTCCCCGCGGATACAGCTCTGCGACATGGTTGAAACCTACCGCGGTTCCGGAAGGGAGTACTGAGTTGCAGCAAAGTAAGTCTACTTGGCCGAAACACTGGCTCAGTGCAAATACCCTTAAGTATCCGGCTATGGGGGACCTAAATCGCAGCTGTAACTAAACTGTCTCTCCCATCACATGGTTTATCGATGAAGGCGGATCCCAGGAACCGGGGTAGTACCGGGCGCTCCGCGCTGAGGGACCGATGGGCCCCTGGGATCGGTTAGTAAAAGATAGCATGCGTCCAGTGGGCACGTGAATTTTTCCAGTGCGTTACCCCTTGCACGGCAGTGGAAGTTCGGGGAAGGTTGATTTACGTGCTCTGCAGGCTAGTACCCTGCAGACCCCGGATGAGCCACAATGGCACTACAGGCCGGGTGAGGGAAACCTCGGCGTGACTGGTCAACAGCTGTCCCTATCTACCCTCAGCAAACCTACCGTGAACGTCTCCGTCGTGCTGAGGAGGAAACGCCGGGCGAGTGAGGGCGGTGTATTTGCACGCTCACTTGCTCGGTAGGCTAATCACGGGGGGCTCTGCCAGTTGGCGCCTGGCAGGGCGGTCTTCGGACTTTCGGGCCACTTATTCTTCGGAATATCGGTTGTCCGTGCCCTTGGGAGCCTTCTCGTAGAAACCGTGGGAGGGGGCCGCGGCTGGTCGAGGGAGAGGGTACAGAGCCGGAACCAGGAGGCTCCTCTACTCGGAAAGAGGGGCAGTGCAAGCCTGGGCCGCTGCATAGTACCGGGGCCCGGGTCGAGCTCGCCACTCGATCGGGCTGCCCCGTAGCAAGCAGTGAAAAGGGCACCGTTGCCCGAAGCGCTCCGAGTGGCACTCGGGTGGGAGGCGTTAGGGGGCGCTGTGTTGTCGACTTCGAGGCCACTACCTGAGACTAGGTCGCGGTTTCTCCCTCGTTGGAAGCGAGATGGGGGTTGGGTTCCTTTGGGGGCGGATGATCGGGGTGGTTCGGGGTTCGTGGGCTATAAGCTAAATAAATTGTAATTTATTTATGAAATGGAAAAACAAAGGAAATTAAGTGAAAGTTGCACAAACGAACTGGGTGTCCCAGCCCAAAATAAAGAAGGAAACAGAGGTAGGAGTACGTCGGCGTCCTCCTCGTTGGATGATGATGGAAGGGGAAGAACTAGATCGAGGTCTCACTCTCCAAAAAAGGTGGAAGAGAGTGGAAAGTCTAGAAAAAAAAGAAAAATGGAAATGCAAAGATTAAGGAGAGAAAAAGAAGAATTGAGATTGAGAAGAGAAAAGAAAGACCTAGAGGAGGAAATTGAAAAGAATAGGATAGAAGCGACTGAGAGAGGAAAAAAGATTGAGGATAGGACAGAGGAAATAAGAAGGGAGATGGAGAGCGTGAAAAAGAGTGGACCGATGAGTCAAGAGATAGTAGATGTGATTCAGCCTACGCAGATGAAGAGGAAGGCAGGTGATAGAATGAAGGGCGGAAATATGGATATATATGTGGTATGTGAAGATGTGAGTCAGAGGCCCAAGATGATTAAAAGGGAAACATTAGACAAAGATCTTAAAAATGGGAATGAGGGAAATGATAAGGAAAAAAGAGAAAAGGGAGAGAGGAGAAGTGAGAGGGTGAAAGAAGTGAATATGAGAAGGTTAATCATGGAGGAGTCAAGATCCAGTGCGGATGCATTAGAAGAGATGGGTACTATCTCCCGTGATCTTAGGAACATCCTCCTCTCAGATGCTAATAAGGTCACAAAGTGGGTAGTAGACCGTATTCTGAACCAATGTGGGAGGTATGAGGGACTGATACAGAGGCTACTGATTGAGAACAAAAGACTGGAAGATCATGTGAAGGCATATGATATAGTGGAGGTAGAAACATTGAGTGAAGTTAAGGAAACATGTAAGGCGATGAAGAATATAGTAGAAGGAATGGATAAAAAAGTTCAGATGATGGAAGGAAAGATACAGCAGAGTGTGAAGGGACTTGAGGAGACAATTGCTAGAGGGAGAAGTGAAGGTATGATAGATAGGTCTGGCGGAGAAATTTCACTGGACAGGAGGGGGATTGAAAATAGTCAAGGAAGTAGAAGATCTTATGCTGTAGTTGTAAAAGGGATCCATGATGATCTGACGGAAAGAGAAATAAGACAAAGGATGATGGAGTGTATACCACCCGAAAAAGGGGTAAGGATTAAATCGATCCGCCCCTCTAGATCCGGTGGGAGTTTAGTAGTTGAGATCCCGAGTGAGGCAGAGAGGGATAAGATTCTAAACTGCTCGGATTTGTGCGAGGCTGGACTAAACGCTCACAAACCGAAGAAGTTGGATCCGAGGGTGGTGATATCTGGAGTAAGGAAGGGAATGGACGATGACTCTATATTGGGGGGACTGTATACGCAAAATCTGAAGGGAGAAATAGGGGAGGAAGAATTCAGGAACAGGGTAAAGATTGTGAAGAGATTTGGGAGACAGCATGATGAAACGGAAAAAGTTGTAGTAAGATGTCCAAGGGATTGCAGGAATAAAATAGTTAGTGAAGGTAGGGTGTATATGGGACTGATGAGCTATAGGTGTGAAATATATGAAGTAGTAGAGAGGTGCTATAAGTGTTTAGACTTTGATCACCGTGTGTTCCAATGTAAAAAGGAAGTAGTTTGCTTCAGGTGTGGTGGTGAAGGACATATTGCGGTGAAATGTAAAGGGAAGGAACAGTGTGTTAGATGTAAGGTAAGAGGGAGACCAGCAGGACACTCTGTAAGGTCGCCGGAATGTCCAGAATATAAAATGAGATTAAGGTGGTTGCGGAATATAACAGATAATGGATAGACAAAATAGGCGATATGAGATGGTGAAGATTCTCCAGTTGAACTGCCAGCGTAGTTACGCGGTAATGTGTGACCTTGGCCAGTACGCCGTGAGGATGGGGATTCAGATCCTCCTCCTTCAGGAACCATATGTGTGGCGTGATCGCGTTCGGGGTTTACCTGGGGGAACAGTAGTATATGTGAGTGAAAGGGGAAGTACGGCTGTGTGTGTGATTGATGTGAAATTGGTGAGTATGTCTGTGGAAGAGTATAAATGGAAAGACGGTGTGGGGGTGTGGGTAAAAGGGGACATGGGGGAACTGTTTGTTTCCTCGGTCTATTTTAGGCCAAGAGAGCGAATGGACAGGGGGATGGCATTTGTGGAGGAAATGGTCCGGGTTGCCAGGGGAAAGAGGCTGTTGATAGGGGTAGATGCCAATGCAGCGTCTATTCTCTGGCACAGTAAGGGAGTGAGAGGAGGTTCGGAGGCGGGTAGAAGAGGGGAGGAAATAGAGGATTGGCTGCTAAGGACGGACTTATTAGTGCTAAACGTCCCCACAGATACATTTACGTTCTCTGGACCCCGGGGGGAGGGTGATATAGACATCACTCTCTTTTCCGGAGATGAGAGAGATGTCTCCTTCGAGTGGACGGTAAAGGAGGATTGGCCGTTGGGAGATCATAATCCGATAAGGATAGAAATGTGGGTAGGAAATGGCATGACTGAGGATGAGGAAAGGGGTAGGGAACGAAGGGAGTTGAGAGAAATCAAAAGATGGAAGCAACAAGGTTGTGATTGGGAGGCATATAGAGAGTGCCTGAGAGGAAAAGCGCATGATTTTGGGTTGGATAACTTTAATATTCTGGGAGTGGATGAAAAGGTGAAAAAGCTGAATGAATGGATAGAAAGAGTGAATAATGAGTGTATGAGAAGAATGAATAGCAGTAGAACGAAGAAGAAGTTAACATGGTGGAATGAGGAACTGGAGGAAATAAAGAGAGAGACAAGAAGGAAGAGAAGGATCTATCAACGACAGAGGAGGAGGGATGGTGATTTGGATAGGGAGAAATGGAATTAATGGATGGAGCAAATGAGAACATACAAGGATAAATTGAAGGAAGCAAAGGATAAAGATTGGGAACAATTCGTAAGGAGGGAGGGTAATAAAGATCCATGGGGGAAGGTATACAAAATTTGCATGGGGAAATACGAAAAAAGGGGACTTGCATGTATGAAGATTGGGAGGGAATGGACCAAGAATTGGGGGGAAAGTGCTCAGGCCCTCCTGAGTGAGTTCTTCCCTCCGGATGACGGTATCCCTATTCCGGAGATGGGGGATGAGCCTGGGAGGAGGGATGAAGGAATAGATGAAGGGGGGAGTGAGTTTACGGTGGATGAGTTGGAGGATGCCGTGGGTAAAATGAAAATGGGGAAGGCACCGGGGATGGACGGGTTTACCAACGAAATGCTCCGAGAGGTCCATGGGGCTATTCCGGGACATATGAGGGAGATTTTTAATGCTTGTCTGAGGAAGGGAGTCTTTCCGACTCCATGGAAAGAGGCGAGGGTAGTGCCTCTTCTTAAATCGCCGGATAAGGACCCGGCGGAGGTGAGATCTTACCGCCCAGTGAGGCTTCTCTGTGAGGCCGGGAAGATCCTGGAGAGAATGTTAATTAAGAGGATGGAGAGAAGAATGGAGGGAAAGTGGAATAAATTGCAGTTTGGATTTAGACCGGGGAAGGGGACGGAAGACGCCTGGAACAAACTGAAGGAAATGGTAGGAAGATCGGAGAGGAAATATGTCTTGGGGATTTTCGTGGACTTCAAAGGAGCATTCGACAATATTCTTTGGAGGATAGCGTTGGAGAAATTAAGGGAAGCTGGGTGTAAGGGAAAGGAATTGTGGATGTGGAGAGATTATTTCAAGGACAGGTGGGTATGGATGATGAATGGAAGGGATGAAGTGAAAAAAGAACTTAGGAGAGGAGCCCCGCAAGGTTCTATTGCTGGCCCCTTTCTGTGGGTGCTATGCATGAATGAGTTGATGGATGCATTGAAAGAAATGAACGAGGAAAGACAGTTGGATGAATGGAGGAGTATGAGTGATAGCGAATCAGTGGAAGAAGACGGATTAGGGAGAGAATTTAGGATCTTCGTGGAAGAGGACCTGGCATTCGCAGACGACCTGCTCCTTCTGGTGGAGGGAGATACAAGAGTGGAAGTGGAAGAGGTGGCGAGGATGAAATTGGAAAGAGTATATGAGTGGGGAAAAAAGGTAGGAGTAGAGGTGTCCGAAACAAAAACGGTAGGAATGGTTCTGAAAGGAGGCTTACAGATGGAGAATAGAAGAATACATGTGAGAGTAGAACAAGAGGAGCGGGCCGTCGGGAATATTAGGTTCGTGGATAGAGTAAAATATTTAGGTGTTAATATGGGGGTGGGCATGAATTTCAGGGTACACTTGGAAGGTATGAGAGAATAGGTTTCAAATATTATAGGGAAACTGAGAAGGGTATTGAGGAGAGATTGGGGGTTAATGAAACAAGTACTTCGAGTCCTTGTAAAGGGACTCGTGATACCAGCAGTTATGTATGGGGCAAGTGTGTGGTATGAGGTGTTGAAATGGAAAGGTTGCAGAGAGAAGCTCATCCGTTGCCAGAGGAAAGTTGTATATGCATGTACGAGAGCGTGTAGAACGGTTTCCACTGAGGCGATGCAGGTCCTCCTTGGATCGCCTCCGTGGGATCTGGAGTGCATGAGATGGGTAGCCATGATCAAGGCCCGTCGAGGTATAAATATGGGGGATATGGACCTGGTAACGAATGAGCAAGTGGAGGGTTTGGATGTGAATGATGTGAGAGTTTTAGTAAATGCAAGAGTAAATGAGTTGTGGCAGGAGAGGTGGGAAAATAGTGAGAAGGGAAGAGTATTATTTGAATGGATTAGGGACGTTACCTTCTCGGGTAAAGCAAAAAGGTTCGACCCTAACTTGAGAGTGACGTACCTGTTAACTGGTCACGGAAGTCTCAACTCGTTCCTCTACGACAGAAATTTGAGTGGGACTCCGGTCTGTGTGTGTGGTGATGAGCGAGAGGATGGGTGCACGTGCTGTGCAGGTGTAATATGTACGAAGGATTTAGAGATTTGGAAGGAATGAATGTGGTGGAGAAAAGAGAAGGTGGTTGGAATGTATCTGGTGTGCTGAGTAAGAAAGTGTACTATGAAAGGTTATGTGAATTTGTGAGGAGAGCGTATGGGATGAGAGAGAGGGTGATTGAGGAGAGGCGAGCAAGAAACGAGAATGGATAAATGAATGTAGGGATAGTGAGTGAGTGTGTATTATTTAAGGAATAGAGATATAGGAATGGGAAATGGTGAAAGGATGACAGGAAACAAGGGAGTTTTGCCGTGCAGGGGGGCTGGCAGCAGCTGAAAAGCCCTTAGTCTTCGGGTATGGCGAACCCGCACACCTGAGCTGGCTACCCGGGGCCGGAGGTGGTAAGACCTCCACCGTGGCTCATACCAGAGCATAAACGGTACCACGGGAGACCGGGGGCCCGCGGGGAACGGCATAGCCGGGCCCCGTCCCGGTCGCTGGGTTGGACTCGTGGTGGCAGTGGTTGACACCCGACATCGCGGGGTAGTAACCGGGGGCGGTTGAAAGAGACTTGGAACGCACGCCAGCGTTAGCAGTCTCTGGAAACCGCCTCGGGTTACGACGTGTGAGTTGCGGCCTCAACTCGGGCAGCGGCCTGCTTAGCCGTTAGGGATATAGATGGGTCCCGACCCCCACCGAGGGTTCTCCGAGAGGCTTACACCCCCTCGGAGAGAATCGGTAGATCTCGGACCTCGGGTGAACGACATAGACGGGCACCTGAGGATCCGGGGTCGCGCTGGCTGGGCGTATCCCAGCCCTGTTACGCACGTAGGCGTGCCGTGTGGGTAAGGCGTATGCCAGGTACCGCACGTTAAACACAAATGAATTAATTGTCCCTATCTACCGGCGGTTGCAATCACGACGCTCTCAGGAAGCTCGATTATAATCCGCTTAGCAAAAACATGGATGATGCATATAGTGCACCATATGGCCAGCCGCGAGGCTGGCCAGGTCACTTTGTGCAAAAATCTTTTGTCAAAGCGGCGGACGGTATTTGTCTCCTTTAGTAGAGAACGGAGACTCCTCAAACAAACAACTCGTTGTTTTAGGCGAGGACGTCGAAACTTCTCTCTTTTGTGTACGGGCATATACAAATGCTGAAGTACAAAATGCGTCACCAATTGCCCTCGACAAGCAACTAATGCTAGTCGACCCGAAGTGAATGCAATGTATATTTGAACGAAGACTTGCAATCACAAGTGCGGATGTGTGTACCTTCACGTGGTGGGGCTGAAAACGCTGTCTCTGCAAAGAAACAGTAGGCAAAACACACAACGCTTGCCCTCAGGGCTACAGGCCAACCGGCCAAACAAAATATAACAACACGGACCATAACAATACGTGGTGAGGTGCGGCCTGTAAACGCCCAAATCATCGCGGAGTCTAACACACCTCAAGAGCTCAACTTGAGCCCAGAAATGCCAAAATCCGGGAGTCACTTGAGGGGAAATCTCTTGGGATTGTGGTACCGCGCGCCCTCTTAGAGGACGGGAGACCGCTCCGGGAGCTAGTTGCAGAGGGCCAATGGTCCCGGCAATCCGAATATAATTCGGGTAGATAACAAATTTCCCCCTATCGACTGGCAATCGGTAGGTGCCACTGCTGTGGGTAAAGAGTCGCGGCCGTGGTCATAGCAGCCACCCAAAGTTCTTTGCCTCGAGCTCCCGGAGTAAGGCCCGACACCAAATTGTGCGAGAGAACAGTCCATTGGGCCGAGTAACTCTCGATGACTAAAACGCACTACGGATGCTAAAACCCTTAGGAAAAATGTTTCCACAGAAGGGCAACATCGTTCCTGCTAAGGAATTGTTTTGAGCCCTAATAACTAAAGCAATTTTGCAATTGAAAGCGAAATTAGTGGCTGTCAGCTCCTTTTGAAAGCGAAAACCATGCACTGAAAGTCCATCAGATCCAGTGCTGCTAATGGCGAACACAGGCTAAGATGATAGTAAAGGCAAAAACCCGGCATGCTCACTCAAATGCTACTTTGGCTGCAACTCGTCTAACACCTAACCCGGACTTGACCAAACGAGGTTTGATTGAAAATCAAACCCAGCGTGAAATAAAAACACGCTGGTACACTCGTAATTAGTTTTAAGTTATATTATAATAAGATTAGTCCTAAGCAATTAACTATAATTTAAGCAATAGCATAAGCAGTAGTACAGTAAGTAGAAAATTAAGTAGTATTAAGATGCGTTAAATAATAAGAAAGTTACCGATTAAAAATTAAGAATTATAAATCAAAATCAAATGAAAGAATAGATTATAAATTGAAAACAAGCAAACCAAAATCAAAACAAAAATCAAAATCAAAATCAAAATTAAAAACAGATCAAAAGCTAGAAAAATAACTAGCTAATAAATCAAAATGTAAATAAAAGAGCCATGGGACCCCGAAACCATGGAGAAACCCGATAAGGTAACAAAACTCAAGCCTAAGTAAACACGCACACGCACAAGTACTCACTGCACGCACTTGAACGCCACTCGAACGCCACTTGCTTAGTTGAACGCGAAAGTTAACGCCAGGACTAAAGTCGAAAGCCACCCTCCAGATCGCCAGCAGCGATCCCAAAGGAGGAAAAATATAACTAAAAATTGCGTTGTACCTTGAAAGCGACATGGTAAACCACTCTAGGTATAACAAGGCGAGGAAACGTAAGCAGGAGATGACCGTTGAGAAACCAGAGCACTGCTCTAACACTCCGGTATCAACTCAGTTTCCTTCGCAACTAATCAAAACAGAAGAAAGCAAAGACGATTGCCCACCAGTTAAGAGGGTTAGTTTGAACGCACAACAAAACCCCGAACTGGGCCAGAAGTTGAGGATCATACAATTGAACCTCAACAAAAGGCAAGTAGCCAACGATGAGCTGGGAGACATCATGACGGACAGAAATCTTGACATACAGGTGGCA